GCTTCTTTCAATGAATCTGGTGAAGAGAATTGGAGCTTGAGCTGACCTTCCATTCTTCCTCTGTCTCCTTCACCTTGTCCAAGGGCTAACACTGGCCAACTTTCAATTTGTTTTCTGATGAACCACAATTTGTATGGGCCTTGCTGAACCCTGCACTCCAGGGAACAGGCCTCCGAGTTAAGGCTCCTCAGCTGCATCCAAGTGTAGTTTTGTACTCTTATCTGTCAATCAGCCCAGGTGAGTTCAGATCTTGGTAGATTCTGTAGACCTGGGTAACTCCCCTACCCTGGGCAAGGGAGAGGAAAGGAAGGCCAAGAAGATCTTGTGAACCTGGGCCTGCCGGGAGAGCGAGCGCCCAGAATCACTGAACATCTAAATCAGTTACTGTAAGAAGACAGAAAACAAATGCTGCACATTAGAAAAATACCATTAAAATAATAAAAATAAAGTCTTTGTTTTCATCTTTAAAACTAAGCTGCCTTTTTTCACCTCAGTCCCTTTTGTGAAAGTCCTCAATACCCAGGGCTTTGAGAAGGGTGGAGGATGAATGTTTTCAGCAAGAAAGGAAGGGAAAAAAACCCCACCAGCCTTTCACCATATCCATCTCAGCTGTTCCTTCTCTCAATTCAACTGGCAACGTTCAAAAGAGGAGTCTGATCTTTGTTAAAAGATTTGTATAAAGCTCTCCTCGACTTCTCACCTGTGGGATGGTTTCTTTACAAGGTCCCAGCAATCAAAGGAAAGAAAGGCCATTGTGTGGTCTGTAACAATAGCAGGAAGAAAGCCAATGAGAAGCTGGGTCTACACACAAAACATGAAGGCATCCCACAACGGCCAGAACTAAGCTACACTTTTTAAACATGACAAAGCCTCCTTGGCACCACATCTGAAAATAAGCTCGAAGTACGCTTGTCAATAGAAATAAAGTACAAATATCCACACCATCAAATACGAACTGAATCTCCCCTCCTTCCAAGTGGCCTCTTCTGGCCTAATAAGCTGAACCCAAGAAAGGTCCTGCTGTTTTATCTGGAAGCAGACAGGCATGGATGGTCAGTTGGACCCAGGAACACCCTGAAGTGAAGGGGGCTGTGATTCCCTTTCTGACTCTGGAGCCCGAAGGACACCTGAACAGCTCCAGACTGCCTGAGTTTCTGGGGGTGCAGCTCTGGTGCTGGGAATCTGCTGCAGGACCCCCCCTGAACTGGACCGCCATCTTTGCTTCCTGGTGAACGCAATGGAGGGTCTGGGAAGGTGGGGGACAGGTAAGCTTAGGCAAAACCCAGGACAATGTTCTTAACCCTTGACTCCAAATGTTTCCTTCTGCCCTCAACCCTTTCCCCTCTGGCAAGAACTGAGGAATAGGAATAAAACTGGGAAACTGCAGGTAGAAGAATAGGATGCGTGGAGTTAAAAACGCAGCACAGAAAGTAAGTAGGCTGTGTGTGTGCAGTAAAAAGCCTAACCAGAAGCATCTGAGATAAGTAACTGATCCTGGTAAATCATCTCTCTCCGTGTGAGAGATCTGCCATGACAATCCTTGACAGTATTGCAAAAACACTGGGATCATCTCGATAGATGTATTTAGCCCCCCGTCTCCCCCCTTTCCACTCTTTAATGGCTGGGTCTGCAGTTGCAGAAGTTCTCTTGCATTTCGTCTTGGTGAGAAAACTTTGGCTAAAACACACCAGGAGTAACCATCATGCTGGCATTGAAAGACAGAGTTCATGATGCTTGAACTGAAGCACACACAGACACACGCACATGCACACACACTCTTAAGCATCCATTTAAAGCTTTTGTAAATAGATTACGCTCCCAAATCAATCAATCCAGGCTCAAAGGCCAATTATTAATACAGTATTTTGAATAACGCCTCTCATATTTAGGGGGGGGGGGGAACTGACTGAATGTGTTCCAAGAAGCCAGATGCTGGTAAATTGGTGGTGGTGTGGTAGTTTCCAGTTGGATCCCCAAAGGGGAAGATATCAATGGAGTAATCCAGGAGATATTTACACCAAAGGAAACTTTTTCAGGATTCTTCAAAAGCACTGAATAAACCATGAGCAATCAAGCTCAGCGTCTACACTTCATCGGTACTCAAGAAGCCTTTGTGCTCCAGAACCTGCTTTGCCTTGGAGGAGAGTCCTGGTGTGACTCCCATCACAGCAGACACACACAAAGAGGAGAAGAGGGGACACTCCTTGCCTTCTTTAGTCTCCCCCTTCCTGTTTCTTGTCACTCCATGAAGTCATTCTCTTCATCTGCCCCAGGGTCAGCCAAAGCCAGCTTCTTGCAAGTGCATTCTCCTACAAACGGCAAGTCCAGATGTTCATGTCATGAGCTGTCCCTCTTCCCACCATTGGCACATAGGAGGGACCTCCTGGCTCTCAATAGGCTATTAACTTATCTAAGATTTCTGTACCTGATGCAAGTATTATGCAGGTTTAAACCATTCAGCACAAACTGAAAACCAGGAAGAGCCAGTTAATATCTGGGCTGACTCACCTCAGCTATCCAATATCACGACCAACTTTCAAAGGCTGAGATAATAGGCTAAGGACTCAAGATTTGCCAAGATTTGCCCAGTATTGGCCAAACAAATGAACCCCAATGATCCTCAGTGGAGTATGGGAGAAAAAATATCTCCATGATTTCACAGAACTTGGCCATAGCCCTTCCTGGTCTCCATTCTTCCAAGCTACAGATTCTACCATTCTCCATGTTTTTGGTATGGAAGAAGTTTTAACTTGATGGCCATTGTGATTGTCTTCTTCCACAATTCCCCCTGCATTGTCATTGTATTCCTTTTTCACCTGCGATGACCAGAACTGTAAACAATATTTCACAGAAGGATGTGGCATTAGAGTCAGAAGCTTTAGTTTTTAATATATTTCCGAATGTTCTCTAGCATAGAATTTGTCACAGCTGGGAAAGGAAACAGCTTGATGGCACCTCTGGGCCTCCTAACAGGACCCAACAATATTTGGTTAATCACAGACTACTCGGCTCTCATCAGGCTATATGTGAAGTTTGGGTTTTCTGTCCCAAAGCACATTATTTTACATCTATTGAAGCACATTTGCCGTTTGGTTGAGCACAGACTCAGCTTAAGAGATGCTTCTTCACTGAATAGTTTGCATCATCCCCAAATCTGGTCAGCTCATTTCTTACCCCGCGTCGCGATCACAATGAACAAGTTTAAAGGCAGCAGTCCCTCCAAGCGGAAAATTGCACATTTATTATTCCCATTTGTTTTCTCTTGGGATTTTTTAAAAACCAATTAGCAACCATTAAAATGACAGGCCCCTTTCCTCACAATTGTAAGTCTTGGCGGCAAAGTTTAAGCAAATATTTTTTTTAAAAAAAGAAATCAGGTATTCAGAGTCAAGTGGGCATCTCCAACAAGTGTCCTTTGGCACCCTAAAGAACAAAAATAAAACAAAAAAAACCAAATCATCGAGACCAGGAATCTCCAACCTTGTCAACTTTAAGACTTGTGCACTTCAACTCCCAGAATTCTTCAGCCAGCTGGCTGAAGAATTCTGGGAGTTGGAGTCCCCAAGTCTTAAAGTTGACAAGGTTGGAGACTCCTGTTCCAGACAGGCAGGATTTCCTTTTTGATGAAGCCGTGCTAATTTTCTAGCATGGCTTCCTTTTCCTTTGATCATCATGTCTATCAATCTTCCTGGAAGAAGGATTCATCTGACCAACTCATCATTTTCTGAGTCTCCCCTGGGTTTCTTTTAAAACAATGTTCAGCTGAATTGTCAACATGGCAGCAGTGAAAGGAGGTATTGCAAACAGCCCTGCTTGGATTGGATTACATGTTCTGTCTGGCATTTGGTCCGTATCAGCGAGAGAGACCCTCCCTCTGCAGAGAACTGCCAAATCCCCCACCACCCTTGTGCAAATTAGTTTATTATGGCAAGGGGGGAGGGGGGGTCAAGAAGGCTTGGGAAAAATGGTTAGTATGATCCACATCATGTGTCTGGCAGCAGAAGGAATTGAAAACATTTCCCTGGAATACAATCAAGGGACCAAATTCTTCTCTATAAGTAGCCTGATAAAGCTTGACTTAAATATTAGGCTCTAGGGAAGATCACGAAATCTAACCATAACACAGAATGGAACATTTGGAGCTGATATCTAACAGCCAGAACAAAGGAGAGGTTGACAAGGCAGGACTGAAACATTTGGATATAACTACAAACACCGATAAGCTTTTAGAAGTATAAAACAAAAGATTCTTGTCTCGTAGTTATTGTATATCAGCTCATCGTCAAGTGTTATTTGCCTTACCAACCTAGGTAAAGACATCAATCAAAGATCTCAATCAATGAGGATCATAACCGCTATGTAGAGCCTCCGCCTATAAATTCAACACAAGTTGAGAACTCCAAATTCAGCTCATCACTTGCTGGTGGAGACTGTTGGCCAGGATGTCCTTTGGTCTGCCTCAGCCCATCCATTATTATATTCCCAGGGTTGCAACAAAAAATGAAACATTATAAGTTACTCAGGTAGCATGAAAAGTTAAAATGCACGAGAAATAAATACGCATGCACACAGACTTTTCAAAAATGTGCACACAACTGAGACTCTTGCAAGAGTTTCATGGGGGGGATGGACCTGACCTTCCAGGCACCAGGTTCTTGGGGAAATGATCCCAAAATGAAGTGGAGAATGTCACCATGGAAGCCTCGCCAGATACCCCCAGGATGAAGAAGACCAGTGTATGGGTCTTCAGTGAGAGCTGAAGGCCAGCTGGGAGTAGAACTTGGGTCTCGGGACTTTCAGCTATGTGGCCCAACTTCTATCACCCTCACGCAGCTTGATTAAATTACAAGAGAAGCATGATCAACTCTGCAATGTTGTCGATCTCTTTCTTCCTGAACCCACAATAATGTCTTAATTTCTCTAGAAGAAGCCGAGGTAAGCAAGAGAGAAGAAAGTAAGGGAACCACAGTGAAAGAGGTCAGACTCATGACTTCCAACTTTGTAGTATTTCAGGACCCAAATGAACAACACTTCTTTAATGTACTCAGTCAAATAACAAAATGGGGCAGGGGAAAAAATGGTCTGCTCCTTGCTATTGAAAACTTTCTTCTCTTCCGTTGACTTGCAGGGCGATGAGCAGATGGCCTTCAAGAGGCCTTGCAAAATCTCCCTTAATCTCAGATGCTTTTCCTAGGAAAGAAATAGAAGAAGTGGTGAGGAAAAACCTCCACAAGGTTGAAACACAGAATGTCATCCTCTAAGCTCCTCCCCAGGTTGCTTGAAGGGGCTCTGGAATCAAACTGGACACGTTGATAATTGGTCAATCTTAGCAGCATCTTCTGCAATGGGGACATCAGAAGGGGCTTTGTCCTAGCCAAGCTTCAGGTCAACCATGTTTACATCATCCAGAGAAGCTCAAGGCATTTTTTAATAAAGTTTTATATTCGATAAACATTAAAAACATTGGACATAGGGCAATATTTCTGGCATACACATTTCCATATAGTGATTAGATCTTATAACAATTATATTTTATATCCACTACATACCGTAGGTATGTGTAGTCAGTCAGATTACCTGTCTATTGATCCTTTTTTAAAATATAATTACTATTCATACAAATACATATCCCATTCCTACCTATCACACATTCTTAATACCATATTTTCCAATTCTGATTTTTTCTGTGTTTTTCTGTCCTGGCCTTTTTTCCTCATTTCTAACCATCGTTACCATTTGTCCCAGATTTCATGATATTCCATCTCTTAAAGAAGCTGAAGGCATTTTCTGAGCATCTGAGATTTTGAGATTTTTCTGAGACAATCAGAAAAATCAAGGAACATTTAAATGAAAGGGTTATTGATTAGGCATGCTAATGTAAAATAGATTGGCAGAGCCTGATGGCCAGTATGCCTCTTCCTTGTACTTTACATGACCATTTTATTTTCCTGAGTTAACACAACAGGGTGCATATTATTTTTAAATTGTTCTAGATGTTTTAGCTTTTGCTCTGTGTGCCCCTTTCCTCTTTGTGACCCAATTTATTCAGACAATTATTTTCAGACATGCAATTCTTTTTGATGCTCAAATACAGACACTCTCAAACCCTACACAAGGAGTGTCAAACTCAAGGCCCAGGGGCCGGATCCAGCCTGCAGGATATTTAGATCTGGCCTGGAAACAGCAAAGGACCAGTCTGTGGTGCTTTTGCCAGCAAAAACAGGGTCCTGAGCTCCATTTTTGGCTGCCACGGTGTCGTGCAATCCCCTGCCAATGAAAACGGAGCTCAGGAGCCTGTTTTTTGCTGGCAGAGTGCTTGGGCCACCACAGGTGCCCCCAACACTCCTACACCAGTCCCCCCCAGGTGAAACACAACCCTGTTGCAGCCCTCAATGAAATTGAGTTTGACACCCCTACCCTACATAGAACAATCTAAACTCCCCCCAGTTCCAGGAAGAACATTGTCATGAGAAAAGTTTGTCTGCACTTGGGGAATAAGGAAAAGAAATATCCAAATGATTCGGATATTGTGGAATTTCCTTCTGAAGACTTATTCCACAAACACTGTACCCAAACAAATTTTTCCATCCTCTGGCCCCTCTGCACTTCATTTCGGTTTCGTAAATAAAGAATGTTGCGTGTCTTCTCCCTGGTTTGATGAGCCACAGCAGCCATCAGCAACAGAACTGCTTTTATTCACTTGCCATGTTTACTTTAACCTGGACGCTCTCCAGAGCACTGTCGAATTAATTCTGAGCAAGAATGGACACTTTTGAAGTATACAGCGGTTCTCCTCCTCTTCCTGTGCCGTTTGGATTACAATCCCAAACAGGGAAGACTATGAAATTTATGAGCCAATGTACTTTCATTAGATTTTTCATTGACTGGTTTAATAGGGCTCCCACTGTACTTCCTTCTATATGTCACCTCTGCAGCCCCAAAGAATTTGGTCAAAGGGCATGTTTCGTCAAACCCGTTTTCCTCCTCTTTGCGAAACTGAACTCATCTCAGGCTAGTTGTCCATCCATGAAATAAGTCAGGCCACCTCGCGGAAGCCCAGTCTCTCCCTTCAACCCCACCTGCGGGGCTGATTTGTACTTGTGGCTCTCTCCATTTGGGTCTCATGTAAAAGAGGAGTGGGAGGAATTCTAGGGAGGAAGCCAGGGGTGGTATTCACCTATCTTCTCTACCAGTTTGCAAATGGGAGCACGCAAGCCTTCCACTCATGCGCTTTTGGAGAAAAAAGGGCCTAAATGGGGTGCCATAGAGCTAGGGTGGGTGGGCGGAGCCACCCGCGATTTCCACTACCGGTTCGGGCGAACTGATAAAATACCACCTCTGGAGGAAACATTTCCCAGAAGCCAGCGCTCTGGCATTTTCCCAAAGGTTGAGCATTCTGATCATGCAGCACAAGGAACAAGCAGAAGCACTTATGATGCCCTGATCCTCAGAGAATGATCCTCTCTCCAGGCAGAGGTTCAGGGAGGCACCTCAGGGTGGGTAGATTGAGAAGAGCAGGAGAATCCATAGAAAGGAGATAAACCTTTCACAACCAAAGACAAGCTTGCTTACTGTCCCTACAATAGAGAAATACATACTTGAGTGCCAAGGATGGGCTTCAAAAATTTTAACAATGGGTACTCTGCCTGGTTCCTGGGTGGGCGTGGCCATGGTGGGTGTGGCCTAGTCAGCCTCCTGCACCACAGCTGGGGGTGGGGTGTGTTTTCGCCTTCTCCAGGCTCCGGAGGCTTTCCTTGAGCCTCTGGGAAGGCAAAAACTTTCTACCCTGGGCTCTGGATGGCTTCTGGGTGGCCTGTTTTTTCTCTCCCCGATCTTCTGCATGGGCCCTGCACTTACCTCGCATCCAGAACGGGCCGTGTGGAGACTCCTGGGAGGGGAGGGGCAGCGTAGGAGGGGAGGGGTGGGGTGGGCAGAGCTAGCCAAGGGTGGGATTTGGAGGTTCTCTGAACTGGCCATAACATTACTGTGTTTCCCCGGCCTGGTCTTATTTTCAGGGAGGTCTTATTATTTTGGAGGTACGGGAGGCGGTGAGCGTGATCAGCTCATGGCTGCTGCTGTGTTGCAATATTTTCAGGGAGGGTTTATTTTGGGGGGAGGGATTATTTTAGCGCATGCGCTCAAAAGCCTGATTGGACTTATTATCCGGGGAGGTCTTATTTTCAGGGAAATGGTAGCTACAGGTTCTCCTGAACTTGGGCGAACCCGTAGCAGCCCACCCCTGCTTGAGTCTTCCAAATATCTTCCAGCAACCGAGAAGGAGAAGCTTCACAGATGTTGCTCAGCTTAGAAAAGACATAGGAAAATTAGGGATTACTTTAAAGGAGGGCTCACTGCTCTCTAGTCTTCATGATTTTGCTACCCAGTCCAGCTCTAGAGGAAGAACTGCATCGATTCCCAGAGGGTTGGATCCTGCCTAAACTGTGCTTCCCTCACCAACAAAACCCTACGAATTCCTCTGCATGTAGGATCCTACCTTTGCTCCGCTGCTCTGATGGCTTCAGGTTTTCTTCAGCTTCTCTATTCTGGTGGAATAGGCGTCTTCTTGCATTTGGAGCTTCTCGTAGATCTCAGACTATGAAGAGGAGCATTTGGCAACTCTGCAATCTTCCGTCTCTTTTTTTCTCGTATGCATTACATCCAAAACATACTACAGACTGTATAGTGTTAGCTGATATTTGTTAGTCCACAGGTTGCTCTGCCTCTTTGGGAAAAGGGCCAGGCTAAAAAACCCTGCGGTTTCAGTGGGACAGGGCAGCACTCCATAAACTCTCCTCTTCTGGGGCCATCTAAGCTCCCTTTGCCCCAACCCAGAGTGGGACTCAGCTCCCTTTGAACTATAGCAGGGGTCGCCAACCTTGGCCACTTTAAGCCTGAAGTACTTTAACTCCTAGAATTCCCCAGCCAGCAAAGCTGGGGAAGACCCCTGAATTATAGCACAGCAAATGCCTCCTGGCTTCCTGGTGTTTGAACAATTCAACCTGTGCTTGCAGAACACAAGTCCCCTTCCTTGGGGGTGGGGTGGGGTGGGGCAGATGGTCTGACCTTCCTGAAATGGAGACTGTATAGATATGTAAAATTCCTGTCTTTCCTTCCTGGCACATAGTTGCCAAAGCCTTGCTCCAAATGATCTGGAGTCACCAAGCTGGGAAGGTTGATCTCACTGTAACAGCCTTGCCAAAAAGGCATTAAGAGTTGTGAATCTAATCTTGCGAAGCTTCTTCTCCAGTAACATTGTACTGCAAACTAGGGCATCCAAAACCTTTGCCAGACCAATTCTCGAATACAGCTCGTCTGCCTGGAATCCACATTGTACATCAGACATTAACACAATTGAGTGAGTCCAGAGGTATTTCACGAGAAGAGTCCTCCACTCCTCTGCTCGCAACAGAATCCTTTATGTCACCAGGCTCAAAACTTTGGGGTTGGACAACCTAGAACTATGCAGCCTGTGGTCTGACAATGTCCTACCTGTCAACAACTACTTCAGCTTCAACCGCAATAATACACGGGCAAACAATAGATACAAACTCAAGGTAAACCGGTCCAAACTCAATTGCAGAAAATATGACTTCAGCAACAGAGTGGTCAATGCCTGGAATGCTCTACCTGACTTTGTTGTTACATCCTCAAACACCCAAAACTTTAACCTTAGGACTGTCTACTGTTGACCTCACCCCATTCCTAAGAGGTCTGTAAAGGGGGTGTGCATAAGTGCACCAGCATGCCTAACGTCCCTGTCCTACTCTCCCCATTTATTTGTCCCCATTCCATGTGTTCTTATTCATGTTTATTTTTATTCCTATTATCTTGTACAGGAGTGACAAACCAAATAAATAAATAAAACAAATACTACAGGTTTGTTCTATTCTATTTCCTTTGATGTGGGGTTGCATTTTGTGGGGTGGGGGAAGGGAAACCCCTCTTGCCTTCTGAAGACCCAACTGGAAGTGAAATGAAACTCCAGGGGAAAAAGTGAGTTAAGTGCCGGTCTCTTTTAACTAAAGCTTAATTGTTAGTAAACATCCGAGAAAGAAGCATCAGAACGCAGAGCTTAATTTCATTGTGATGCTCACATATGAGTCAGGAGAGCTAATAGAATGGGCTTCTGGAGCTTTGTGGCCTAAAAAAATGCTCAGGGCTGCATGCGCAGGCAGAGAGACACTTGGGGCAGGGAGAAGGTAGCTGCTGCAATTAGAAGGGGGCTCTCCTCTCCAATTCCCCACTACCTGGACACCTGGCTGCCTTCTGGAACCCATTCTGCCCTGCAAGGAGTTACTCAGCTGCCTAATGCAAAGGGACGTTTGGAGGAAAACTGCAAAAAGCGTGTCGATTAAGGAAAATTACGAATAAAATGATGTTTCTTTTGGAGGAATGTGCAGAAACCCACAAATTGTACTGTAAGCTTAACAAATATTCTTGAACTTCTGTGGGAATAGGTTAAAGGGAATTGACAAATGGAAAATATGAGAAACTGCAAGGAAGGCATTTGCCCGTCTGTAGTAGCAGGTTAGCAAAAGCAACTGCGACCCTTGTGCAGAATGTAAACTTTCCCAGGATTTTTTAATGCCCCCATTTAATCGCTCTTAAATATTTCAGCTCTCCCAAGTGGGAAAGACTCCCAGCACTACGTTTTTCTTCTTTCATTTTTCTTGTTTCATTTTTTTTTATTGTTAAACAGCTCAATTTGCAATAAAACGGAACTAAACCGGCATTCCTTCCCTCCCGGAAGTGGTATTTTCACGGGGTTGTTAACGGGTCATTCCACATGGATTTCCAGATAGAATCCATGAGATGTATCAGAACAGCCAAAATCGGCAAAAAATGAAATGTTAATTGAACGGAAACGATCTTTGCTCAGACCACGTACCTGTGGGGAGTCCCTAGGCAAGGACCCTGGCCTAAGAGGGCACTGCAGATGCAGGGGGACGGCAGGGGAGACCCTCTGCTGTACCCCACTTGCTGTGCCCTCCTTTTGGGGCTGTCCCCTAAAGGGAGGCGCTGGCTCAGGCAGAGGAATGATCCACAAAGGGCTCCTTTGCTGCCTCATCTGCACCAGAGTGGGCTTCCGTGCTGATGGCATTGCAGAGGCATTTTCCAATTCCCTCTGAGGTAGCGAAACTCACATTTGGGAAGAGTAGCACAGCAGCTTTGCTGTAGTCAACAGGGCTCAGTTCATCCTGGCAAAGACATCCCGTTGTGGGGCACAGCATGAAAGCAGAATGAAGTCAAGTTGCTTCTTGCAACCCTACCTGGATGTTGCCAATGAGCTCGTTGGTGAGTTGGCCCAGAACCGAGCGAACGTCCTCGATGGTGTAGCCCATCAAAGGGTCCACGGTCACTTGTTCTTCAGCTGGCTCTTCTGCAAGGACGCCTCCCGGTTCCTAAAAGAGGACAGGCAGAGGCTCACCAAGCGACCCCTCTCATCACAGGGGGAAAGGGCCTCCTACAGCAGAGGGAGTCACTTATGCCCCCACCCCCACCTTGGCCACTGACAGATTTCCTGCTGTCACTCATGACAGGAAACCCTCCCAAGTTCTTTGGACAAAAGTGTGTTTGTGCGCACGTGTGTGTGTCTGTGTGTGTGAGAGAAAATGTTTATGTGAATGTGAGTGAAGGGATGCAGGGAACCCAATGTTGCTCCTCTAAGCCAGGAAGAGGTGGGGCATTTTGGGGGGCTGAGAAGAAGCCCAGGCTGGGGCAGGGTCCTCTTTTGGAGGCCTCCAAGCTTCATAGGGCAAACAACTGATCAGGGCAGCCTCTCAGTTAAAACTGCCTCCTGGGAAGGGAAGCCAAGGAGAATTTAAAAAAAAGAGTTCAGTGATGGCAAGGTGGCATTTTGCTTTCTTCCCAGAGACCTCCACTTACCTCCTCCTCCTCCTCCTCTTCCTCCTCCTCCTCCTCTTCCTCCCCTGCAGTCAGAGCTACGAACTTGAAATAGATGTCGCTGGGCAAGCCTTCTTCCAAGGGGGCAGGGAAAGGGGTCTTGGCGGGCTTGACTAGTTCTACCACTTTCTGTTAAGAAGAAATAAAATGGGGGGAAAAGCAAGGGAGATTTACAGAAGAGCAATGCAACCCATGGCTCCTCTTGGGCACCATTTGCTGATGGCTTTTTCAAGAAAGGAAGCCAAAGGCCCAGGCAGACCACGCCGTCTCTTTGGTTACTCTTCCCAAGTGCTGGAAGCCTCCCTGACATCCTTCTCAGACCTGCTCTCCAGGTTTGGTAACTAACAACTGTTTTGTCAGATGGGGGAGCCGGATCGGCTCAACCACCATGGCAAAATAGGTTGTAAAATCAGGCAAGACTCAACAACCACAATACTTGGCATCCCATTCCCAATTGTGGTCATAAGTTGAGGACTACTTGTACTCTGAACCACCAATGTGAAGGGCAGAAGCCCCCCCCCCAAAGGGACAATGAGAGACATCAGAGAGATCCATTCCTCTCTCTGGCCCAGGGGTCGGCAACACTCAGAGCCACAAAGGTCCTAACCGGAAGCCCCCTATTCAATTCTGGAGACAACCAGAAGTCCAGTCCCCCCACTATAAAGTCTCCTCCTAGTGTGGTGTCCTTTTTCCTCTACCTGTCCTAACCGAAAGCCCTATCAATTGTGGAGCTGACCAGCAACAGGGAGCCGCAGCAGAGGGATGAAAGAGCCAC